AGAAGACAATAGTCCTTGTTGCAGTAGACACCTGTGGTCTGCAGACCAATTTATTTTTCCGCTTAATGAATCAGGATCTGCCTGCACATAGATTGCTTGCTTCTGCCAGCATTTAGCAGCCTAATATGTCTGCCTTAAGTAATTACATGTTAGGTAGTTGAGATGTAGTTCAGCCAAAGGCATAAGCTGTATGGGAGAGTGGGATGGAAAGGACCCAAATTAGATTTGCCTCAAGCTACTGTGGCAGCTCGCGTAGACAGAGATGAATTTTGAACTAAAGAAAGCCAAAGTGATTTTGTTTAACCAACTGTTTTTCTCACTTTTAAATAAGCTGGCCTATAATATCACAATTTGTTTTGGTTTTCCTGAATAAAAATTTGAAGTTTTTAACTGCCAACCAGGAAATTTTATGGAGGGTATTTCCAGGTTAAAAAAGCCCCAAATCTGGCTGTTTCTAACACCTTTTAACCACCATGCATTCAGTCCTAAGAAAAAGTTAATATTCTAATTTTATAGTCCACATCATTATCCTGTTTCCTTCTGATCTTAGCACTATTTTGCCTAGTCAGATGGATTAAAAATTGTGGAACAATCAGCCATACATATCTCAGTTAAATGTGAGTATTGTATGTAATTGAGAGGGATAAAATCCCTTACATCGCTTGTTGTGAGATCCATTTGGATGGACAGTGCTGCTTTTTACTAAGAACCTGTTTCCTTTGATGCTTATTTAGAGCCGTTCTGTTTAACTAGATAACTTCTTCAGTGCATGTTATATATTGCTTATTTAACAGGATTATGTATATTGCTTTTTAAATTAAAAAGCATATAGATTGTCCAGTTTGGGGGAGGCTATAAAATGGAGACAGGCTGTACCCTTTGGTCGGGTTTCTTTCTGAGGCTGCTGGGTTTTCAGCAAGGGATTGATATTTCCAAGTTCAAGTTTGCTTGTGTCAGTTTAGTGAAGAATAGGGACATCTCCTTTTGATTGTCTTCCTTTTGTATTTTATGCACTTATACAGCCAAATATAAGTGCATATGAAATGCAGCCACATTCTGCATGATAGATGAAAAGCTGTTCTCAGTGAGTATATCATAGCTGAGTCAGCTGGGCCCCCTGCTGCGCTCTGCTTTTGTTGTTTTTTAAGAGGTCTACATCCTAAAGTACCTAGTTCTGTTAAATATTAGTAAGCCAGTACAGTGAATTTCGATTACTAAAGTTGACTGAAGATGTATTGTCTGCTTTGTGTGTTGCGTCTGGTAAATAGCTGGTTGCTGTGGTAACCGCCTAAAAAGGTAGAGGGTCGTTGGTACCACATAAATTCTTTAAAGAAAACCTGATCATAGCAAATTCTAACATTAGTCTTCGAAGAAGGATAAAAGAAGAGGAAGAGATTCAGACAGCTTTTTCCTTTTGTAAACTTGCTGCTTTATAGGGGAAAAAATAGCTAGAAATAGTCTGTCTCGTACGAAATGAAAAGGTTGTGGATTAAGGCATTGCATTAGTGAAACAGCTCTATGAATGTGAAACAGAAAGTTCTCCAGCTTCAGCCATTATGGGTTTGTTTGGTTAGGTCTAATTTTGGAAGTCATTATAGCAAAGGTAAATGACTTGCACAGGAGACTACTGTAAACAAAAGACTCGATACATTTACTTTGGCAGGAGCCTTGAGAAGACTCGGTCCTTTCACTGCCTCTTTTATGCAGCCTTCTGTAATACTCTCACTGCCCGCCTCTGTACGCAGGCGGCTCTCATTTCCCTTCCTCGCTCTCTGACAGCTTCTTTCCCCTGACATATAGGATTTAAGGGTGGCAGCACCTGCTGTTGAAATGCTGGTGTGTAGTTCTAGAATACCTTTATTTTTATAGTAGCTGTCCCTTGACTTCTAAAGCCACTGTGGTTTGGTCAAGTAAGAGTCAGTTCACTCTCTCCCGGTCTAGTACCAGAGTATAATCTGTTTCAAATGCTTTACTTTCTAATTGTGGCTCCTCTTTGGTTGCTTTTTGTGTTTTTTATTTTATCATTTAATAGCTTTTTAACCTACAGATTCTAATCATACTGATTATTAGCCGAGTTTTCTAGTTTTTCAGGGAAAAGTAAACCATGAGAACTGCAGTTCTCTTTCCAGGTCTCTACCCATGTGGTTCAGTCAAGGCTCAGCTCATTCCACACCTACTTATTCACACTCGTGTGGGTGGGGAGGCAACTTCCATGATGACAGAAAGAGTGCCCATGCACAGCCTGCTTCTTCCCTTTCACAGAGCTCCTTGTGAACATATTGCATGGGTGTAGCGGACCTTTCTTTGATTTCTAAAGCTGGAAGGATGAAGTAGAGGAGCAGACTCAGTATCCTCTCCTTGCTGCACTCACTTGCTGGTACCTCTTTTCTGTACTCCCTGACTGTTGGGTGACCGAGGAGACTCCCCTTCACAATTCCTATCATGGGTGACTTGACTGCTGTCGCTTCCCAGTTTGTCAGGAAGTGCTTTCAGTCAAGGAATAATTGTTCAGGTTTACTTCAACTCCTAAAACAGATGGGGCATACTCTACTGTTGATTAATTTTTTAAAAATACAAGATTATTATGCTGCATCTTCAAATCAGGAGAAACCGATCCCTGCACGTTCTCACATGCTTTATGCCCATGGGGGATAGCAATGCTGCTGGTCATTCTGATATATAACTGGTACCAGAGGAATCTATAGGGTCATTTTGGACTGCAGAAGAAAGGATTATCTTTATCTCTGAAATTGCTCCCTTAGTGCTTATTAACTAGAAATACAGTAATTGAGAACCTGGTAGGAAAAGATTTTGTCTAATAGTAACCCTGATCTCTAAAATGGAGTTTAACCACATAATAATTACACACTAAAATGTTTGACCAGTATGACTGATATAAACAAGCCAACCATGGAATTGAGTGCCTGGAAAGAGGTTTTATTTCAGATTAATTTCATCTCATGCTGTATATATAAGATATTTGTATGCTTTCAGGTCAGGCGACTGATTCTGAAGAAAAATATGTGGTTTTCAGCTGCATGAACTCTTTTGAACTTCCTTCCATCTGCAGGGTCTTTGAATGTCAGGAGAAGCACACAACTTTGTTTTACTGGTATTATTCTCTAATGTCTTAAAAAAACACAAGGGTAATACAAAAATTCTCTTAAAGAGAAACATCCTGCTCTCCAGCTTATTGGGGAAAAAATGCAAAAGATACACCTCTCAAAAAGCTAGCACAATTTTTTGACTTCACACTAAGAATTAATAAAATACAGACATTTTTTACCTGTGAGGAGATAGCTTAATGTCATCACTTCATTCTGTATAAGCTAAATGGTGAGGTTTGGTTACTGCACCCAATATTTAAATATAAGCCCAAAGTCAAAAGCAAAAGTTTTAGCTATACAGTTTTGTTTTAAATTTACAGTATGACATTCAGCCTAGCATTTCAGAGGCAGCAGAGTGGCTGTCAATGGAATAGAATTTTGGAGAAATGAACACCAAGAAGTTTTGTGTGCTGTCAAATCACAAAGTGCTCCATACACCGCATCTGTCAGGAAGTGGAAACCTTCCTTAAAGCAAAGAACCAACACCATTTACAGCAAAGACAAAGATCTAAGTGATATGTAAAACTGAAGACTTGTTTTTCACCTGTGAATTTAATATCATAACATTCTTTTCATCTAACAGTAAGGTAGTATAACTGTATTTTTAGAAGATTATGCTCATGGGCATTAGTTTATTCCTGATATTTTATGATATGCTATTCCTTATAATTATCTCTATTGTGGAGGATGTTTTACTTCCTTTCTACACATCAAAACATGCTTTAGGTGTAACATTCTCAATTCAATTGACTGTGAAAATAGGCTTGTTTTATTTTAAAAAGGAGTTTTGTCAACTCTGCCCAGAAAATTTGTTATATTTAGTAAACGCTGCAGATATGTACGAAGAGCCATGGTATTGCCAGGGAGGTACATGGGAGCTTTCGCTGTGCCTTTCACTGCCTCTCACCCACCAGATCTTTAGATAAATAGGGAAGTGTGTGCGGTTCCAGGAGCTGAGTCCCATTGCTTCGGCTGTGGTTACACTCAGCAGCCAGAGAAGAGGCTCTCAGGAGAGGGTGGGTTGTGTCCTTAAATTCTGAAAGTTTAATGATTCTAGGTTTGTTCTTCAAAGCTACGAGCAATCTCTGTCACCATCATTTAATTATTGAAACAATCCTTTTTCGCAAGACAAAACTTAATGCGCATTATGGTAGTGGAGACAAATGCAGATGGGACCTGGTGACACTCCCTGGTTGCTCCCTGGTGACAGGACCAAGAGGGAAGAGTCGCATTACTTTTGTTTGGGGTGCCCATCGTGTTCTTCATACTTCATAAGGACAGTGAAGACTTGAAAGGCGTTATTTAAGTCTGTGGGGAAATACAGCTGCAATAGGAGGAATTTGCTGCTTAAGCCTGTTTCCTTTTCAGAGTTTCTGTTACTGTGGCCACCTTACTCCTAGCAGAAACTGCTGGACAGGATGGAAATGGGAAAAAAATTGGCCCCTGCCTTGTGCAACAGGTGCAGTTTTCAGTTGTGAGCATGAGCTGAGCTGAGTCTCATTCACATGCACAGAGAATGGCTGCGGGCAGCCTCGTCAGGAGCTACCTCAAGAACTTGGGATTTCTGCATAAGTATTTGATCTCTCTTGGAAAGATGCCAAGCAGAAATTAATTGCTTGTGGTGAAATCTTTCTCTGTGTCTAGATGGGATGTTGAATACTTATGAACTTTGAAATTTCTATGGGACAGCCTGATCTAGCATGGTTGTATTTAATATACAGACAGATAATGAAAGATACTTCTTCATCAGATAGAGGTCTTTGATGCACTTTTTTTGTTTTATATATACCACACTAACTTGAGAGAGAGGAAGGGAGTTCTTGTAATAACATACACATTTGTTTTTCTGTTTAGTACATTGACAGGTGTTTGGTTTTTCTTGTGTCTGCCCAGGAAACCACGTCTTGTCTCCTGGAGAGTCTGTTGGAAAAGGTCTAACGCCAGAAGCTGCAAAAGATCTCGGTCTCCCTGAAGGAATTGCAGTAGCAGCATCTCTCATTGATGCACATGCTGGAGGACTAGGTACTCAGTTGTATCTTTACTATTCTTGGAAACAAAAATGTATTGAATTAATTTCAGAAAGCCATTTTTCTCACAGCCTGTTTTGTATCCAGCAATTTGATCTGATGCTATTCTTATGAAGCAGCATAAAATAAAAAAAACCCTCACAGTAACTGCTAATATTGAAAATCTGTTTATAGAAAGAGGCTATTGCTGTTTACTTCTTTTCAGTTGGATTTCCAAACTGTTTGTTAACTTCTGCTAGTTCCACTTTGAATTCTTGAAATGAAACACCATTGTCTCGTCAAGCCAATGTGCTGAGAATTTGCATCTTCTGTTGCTCAAAATTTTGGGGATAGGCAAGAGAAAAAAATTAATATTCTGAGGGAGGAATCTCATGTCTGAGATTTGTTCATAGTTAGTCTTCCTTCTCAGTTCTAGATGCAATTCATGCTTTGTTTAAATAATGCAGCAGACACTTCTTCACATGCATTTAAGCTAGCACAATGTGGGATATATAACAGAAATTATGCTTTTGGTCTAGTGGGTTAGAATATGTAAATACCATGTATCCAAACTAGGAAACAAAAGTAGAGGGGGAACTGGCCACTGCACAGCATTCGCCATCTGTGACTTTGAACTTTTTATGCATAACTGGAGTGGGAGCCCTGATGCTTAGAATTTTTTCTTTTCCAGCACAATATTCTGATGTGCCCAGTTTCAGCTGTGTTGAAATAAATCTGGTGAGGCTTAATGGCTTAATTTTCTTATTATGCTGTTTGACCTTATCTATATACAGTGAATAACAAAGTGATTCAATGTAACTTTTTCAGCAGGAAATTGAGGTTTTTTTAGTTTGATAGTTTAGAAAAAAAGTCTTACCTCAGAAAGTTTCAGTGTTATTGAAAGAGTATTGTTCAATGGAAATCTATTACTCATCAGAGTATTTTTCTCTAGATCTAAATTAAATGTGATTAGCTGCTAAAGTACCAGTTTTGTTTCAAATATTTTGTGGTGTTTTAAATCTCATTTGTTCTTCTAGAAGTTGTAGGCTGGAACTTTAAAAATATTTAAATACCTTTGCTTCTGATAACTGTTTCTGATGAGATTAAGTAATCGTGTAGATTGCCTTTTTTATTACCTCAGAAGGATTAGATATCCAGCTGCAAAAAAGAAGACTGAGTTTTAGTGTTGTAGATGTGTTGCTGCTGCTGTGACTTAAAAATCTGTTTGTGTGAACTGGTATCCTAATTGCATAAAAATGTGTTTAAAACTATGTGCCCTAGAAGTTTTGTGTTCTTGAAAAGGATGTAATAATAAGCTGGCCTGAAATAATGAACTGGCTGAAAAACTGGATTGTCACAGCAGAGCACGTGAAAATGACACTGGAGAGTCCTCATTTAATTGGCATCATTATGTTAGTACTGGATTCAGAGCACAAAAAGTTTGCCCATTAAATTGCATGTGCTGAAATCAATGAATTTAAAGAAGCATAGAGAGCTGTTCATTTGCTATAGTCTTCTGTGAAGAAACTCTTAACAGTAGAAATACATAGCTACTGGCATCCAACAGAGTAAGACTTCAGTGGATGGAGGCAGTCTGCTTCTGTTAGTCCTGTTTATCAGAATCCATTTTCCCAGATGGCACCACAAACACTAGCAGACTACTGAAATCACTACCAGGAGAAAAGAAATCTATAGGTTGTTAGAGAGGGAGAGGCACATTACAGCGGGAAGAGTCAGTAACACAAAGGGAGAACCTGCACGCTACTCACACGATAACTGAGTAGAGTCTGCCTAAAGAGGAAGATTTAAGATGGAACTTATCGTTCTTGAATCGGGGAAGGGTAATAGGTAGGGAATCTAGTAGAAAAGACAGTACAAAGGAAAAGATTTGGATAGCAAAAGAGACCGCAGAAGCAAAAGGAGAGCTGGAGAATGCAAATGCATGTAAAGAAAATTGTGTGGCTACATCTCAAATACTGAATAGCTCTCCTTCATCCATAGCTATTAATAACAAGAACCTTAGTCTTTTTCAAGTCTAGTTTAACTTAGAGTGTGTAGAATACAGAGCTGAAATTCCCGAAGAAAAAACAGAAAAGCAAAAGAACACAGATAATAGGAAATTAAACTGTGTTCTGATTAAAAGATATTAAGGATGGTAATGCACTAAAGCATATTAATCTTTTAATAATGATAAAAGGGGCACAGAAGAAAAGAAAATATGAGATATTTGAAACACTGTATTAAAATGTTAAAATATTGGAAATAACTCTTGTAGTTTTAAAACTTCTGTTTTGAAAAGGTACTGATGTGTGTTTAAGTGCTTACTCTGCTGTGATCTGTATTGAAATATTGAGGTTTACAATTTGTTTGAAGGATATGACTTGTATGTTAGTAAGCATTAGATTAGTTTGTGGGACAACAACATCCAGTGGATGTCATTATTCTTATTCTTGAATACATTCTGCTGGTTGTTTTAAAAACAGTCTGTAATAGCAGAGTAGCAGAAAGGGCTCTTTCGTATCCTGCAGGCTAAACCAAAATGACATGATGGACGTCTTGTTTTCAGTGTTAGTAACTTTTGATGCACTGTTCAGATCTGCTTTTGGCTGGATATAAAGCATGCTTTTGCTGGATAGGTTCCTGAAATTTATGAAGGCTTCAAAGTTTTGAATAAAATAAGGTAAAGATAAAGAGTTATGTAATACATATGTCTATGGAGGCCATATATGATTCCTGAATCAGTCCATCTGATACCTATTATGGAAAAGGAAAAATCTAGAAGCCGAGTAGTTATGTCTTACATTTTGACCTACTGTACCAATTTAAAAGAGCCTACAGATAAAAATGTGAGTATGGGAGTATCATAAAAATAATGTTTACATTGCACCTTTTAATGAGACATCAGCATTGTTTCAGCGAAAGTAGGTAATTTATTGTACAGTGTCTAAAATACTTTGTCACTGTGGAAGAGATCCAAAAGTACTCATGCTAAGTGTTGCCTGCTTTTCTAAAATGTCTCCTACAGTTTGTGTGGTATACAGACTTCTTTTTCTCAGTCTCTCTTGAGAATCTTCAAAAGATTTTGAATCTGCCTCAGAGTATGAAAATTTCATCTGAGTTAAAGGTGAAAGTGACTTATAATTGATTAAATTATTTTTAGCAAATAAAATATCTAAGCTTTCATTATTATGAGGTTGTTCCAGACTTATTTGCTGTCTGATTTCAATTAATCACAAATAGGTAGACTCTAGCAACTCTAAACATTCGTAAAGGCACTGACAAAATCCCACTGATTTCAAAAAGGCCCAGAATGCTATTTTGCAGAATGCATGTTTTCCTAGTGATTAAAAATACCTAAACATGAGGCTCTTCAATTTTGTTATGAAAATACATTTGCAACATATGCTGACAATTCAGTTCAATAGATTTGTTCCCTCTAAAGTGTGAACAGTATTTTAAACTCCTTTAAGGAATTCTGTTACAGTGTTGTCTAGTAAAGGAAATTGCTTTTTAGACAGCCATACGTAAAATTCTTTATAGGAACTCATGCATGTCTGTGTTTGAGCAGTGAAAAATAAAGCATAAGAGGTAGAAGACATACTTTAGCTTTCTGTTGTTCCTTCCAAATAAACTCTTTGTATGATAGCTATTCTACTACATAGTTTCAAGCCAGCTAGGATAAAGGGACAGATTTTTGAAGACTGTAAAATTTTAGCCCTTACTTTTCTGGTTATTTTGATAACTTCCAACCATCATACCATGATAACCATGGCAATCATGCTAAGACAAACCTCAGCAGACCAATTTGATAACAGAATCTTGCTATGGTGACATAAACAAGAAGGTGTGAATTAAATGTAGCATACCAACCAGCAATAACACTGGCATCTTTCACAATGTCCAGCAGATACTTTCAGTTTCCATCTACAGTGAGAAAGTCTTTTTTTTTTTTTTTTTTTTTTCATCAGGATTGGCAAACTGGTCACCAGGCTGTGCATTGCAGATAAAGATGCAATGCACAGTCTGGTGACCAGTTTGCCAGTTGAAAAGTAATGGTCGAGAGAAAAAGAAGACAAACAAAAGAATATTACTTGTTGGGCTGCTTCATTTTGCTGGGTGCAGCACAGTGTGATGCAAGAATGCAACCAATGAGAGGAGGAGGAGGAGAGGGCAGGATTTCCACTTTAGTCTCCCTTTAAGTGAATTAAGCAGGATGTGATGCATGCAGAAGCTTGGCTGTAGGTCTTGCCCCACTCTGTAGGCAAGCTCCTGGCTTTCCTCTGGCATCTCCTGGCTATATGTTTCTGCTGCAGGCTGAGTGCTTGCTGAGTTTGTCCTCTGTCCTGTCCTGTCCTGCACGCAGAAGCTCCTCAGAGCCAAGCACAGGTCCTCTAAGGGAAGGAATAATCTTCCTTTGGATAGTTCTGTCTGACATGGACAGAACAGCAGCAGCAGTCAAGACAACAAAGCTGGCAGCCTTCCAGTCTCCTGCCAAGTTATCCCTTTCTCCAGCTCATCCCCTGACAAAACACATCATAAGGTATAAGCATGATAAACTGTGAACAAATAAATATATCTGCAGTCTACTGTACTGCCTTTCACAACAGGGCAGTCTTTTATTCTGCATGATAGTCTACTACTTAGGAGAATAAAGGTCAGGTTATAATCAAAATAACATTTTAAAATTATGATGATAAACATGAACATAGAAGAAATCATATTGTGTCCTCACGTATCTGGAATAAAAATACATTTTAATCTGATTTGATAAAATAACTTTGTTTATTGACCAAGTAGACTTTTTTGATTTGTGGGAGTGGTGTGAGGTACTCATCAGTTTTCTGTGTGGGGAGAAGCTCTGTTTTCTGAGGGTTGGCTTGCTCTTCTTTAAAATAGAATTTTAATTTTATTTTAATAGGAGTAATTGGAGCAGATGTGAAAGGATATAACCTGCCATGTGAGAACCAGCCAATTACATCCCGAGTTGCTATGATCTGTGGAACATCTTCATGCCACATGGGGGTAGGTTGTATGCGTAGTCCTAATTTGTACAGAATATACTAATGTTTTTGAAGGAAAAAAATGACCTTTGTCCTTCTTATCCTTTTCCTTTATTTTTTTCTGGTAACTCTATCTTTACCTTTGGATATTAATTATATATTACCAAGCATTTGCTATCAAGCAAGAACTTTAATAGCAGTAGAAATCAATACTGAAAAATGACATGGAAAGTGAAAACCATGATGCTAGAGTGGCTTAAAGAGCAGCCTGAAATCTGAGCCAAAGACTCTGAGCTTGAGTTATCCGTGACAAGCCTGTCACTAATGTGTTACAGAATAGTGTCTTTGGAGAAGGAGTGCATGTCTTCAGTCACAGCCCTTCTCCCCCACCTCTTCACTGAATCAGTATAAATCCTTCTACATCTGAAAGTTGCCATGATGTATAGAATTATGATACGAATCATGACCAAAAAGAAAGAAAAACCCCAATAAGCAATTTTCACTTTGCTATTTTTTTCTCAGTGAATTAATACAAAAGCTTTTTCTGAGATTGCAATTAAAATTTAGTGTCTGCTTTTGAAATTTATACCTTTTTTAAGATGTATGAGTCTGAAAGCATTCCATTTAGATAAGTACCCTTTTCTGCCACATTTTTTATTTAAAACTCATTTCGGTCTTAAATTTAGACTGATTATAACTTGGATTTTTCCAAAACGAGCAAATGGCAATGGTTGTGCTAGAGGTGTTAGAGAGGACTAACATGTTTCATGGAGAGAGCTCCAGTAGAGAAAAAGAAAGGAAGCTGATAATAAAATGTCAGGCTTAACAGTAAGTTAAGTTGTCTTTGTAGTAACAGCATGAATACATGGTGATCTTGAGCATGAATAAATGGTGATCTTGTCACACGAATTGTAGTTCAGCAAAGCATTTTAGCACATGATTGAATTTAAAGATATGAGTAATCCCAGTATTGTGAAGCAGAGCATTTAACAAAATCTTAAATCCTGTAGACCAATTGGAATATATTTGGATTCCTTCTTAAGCAAGAGTTTAAAACCTCAAACTCCACCACTCTTAGCTTGCTCTGTCTCTGAAAAACTACGCTGGTATCTCTTTGCTTATCACAAGGCACGTAGGGAACCCTGCAAATACAAACTCTGGAGGAAGAAGTTGCCCTTTTGAGCCTGCCACTACTTTCATTATTTCCAGGTTTTTTTTATGGAGGTGTCTGCCCTTTCAGAAGAAACTGTGTGAACTCCTCCTAACCTGTTTCATGTATCTGAGTTAGTTTAAATAGTTAAAATGGGTTAATAGAGACAGCATACTGGACCTAAATGAGCTCAGGAGCTCACAGAGAGTTTCCCCAAAAGATCTAAGGACAATGTTGAGCAGCTGGAAATGGTCCAGCTGGCTCTAACTTATTCCTTTAGTATAACTAGCCCTGGAGGACATTTGTGTGGTTATATATTAATCTTTAATATGTGTATATTGGTCAGTTCTAACGTAGACCCAGTTCACAACTATAGTTTGTTTGGCTGGCTTTCCGAACTAGAGCATGGCATATCAGTTTGAACACTTTCATGGCACTTTTTGTGTGCAAACTCCACAACCACGAGAAATGTGGCTCCTTTACATATGCTAATACAACAAAAGTGACATGATAAAGTCCTTGCTGATGTTAATCAATTTTCTTTTTATGTCATTAAAGCAACCCCAAAGTCATACACAGACTGCATACCATAGACAAGGTAAAGCCTTTTAAGGCTCTTAATTGCTTAAATGCAAACTCAGGAATAGATACTTGTGCAGTTTTTGGCTAGATTTAAGTAGGTTTTTATTTAAATGTAACTACTCAGCATTTTATAATAATTTCCTTAACTGCCTTTCTTCGCTCATCTGCTCAGAGGTATAACAGTCTCTAGCCAGCAGACAATAAGCAAATTCTAAACTCCTCTGGATTTAATCTGTGAAAGGACTTTGGTTTACTGTTCTTTTATCTATTACCTGCATAGACTGCATGAAGTCAATGTAGAGCACACAGAGCAGTTGTATTTGTGTTTTAATGAGACCTATATGCAGCTGCATTTGGCTGAAATTAGCTGTTCCTTTTTTTAATTAGGGCTATAAAATGAAAGTATATTATACTTGTGTTTTGATAGAAATATATATTTTCTCTCTCCGTGTGCACCAAGGGACCCTCAGGGCTACAGAGATTAATCATCGAGTTTAATTTAAGGCAGTGGGAGAGAGACCTGTGTGGTCAGGCGGGCATTAAAAAGTGCCTTTGATCTGCCTCAGGTGCACTGAGCCCCAGTGAGCCAGCAACAATAATACCTTTGTGAGATGATCAGAGACGAGAGAGGGAGAAAATGGCCTGTGTGGAAACTCAAGGCCGTCCTTTGTTGTGGTTCTGGCAAACGAAAGAGCCAACTGTCAGGAGAAATTCAGAAAACAGAAAGCAGGGTGAAAGTACGGTTGGATTTCTTTCAAGGGATTGTAACAGGAAACTGTTCAAAATCATCTGCTATGCCTTTCTTTTCCCCTCCTTCCTCCTTCTTTTGGTGAGGGCAGGGGTACTACTGTTGGTGTATGTGTGTTGGTACAGTATTTCCATGCTCTACATTGAATACTCCATGAGTCACAGGAGCAGGTATTGCTTGAACACAGCATTTACTTTAAGAGAAACTACTTCATGACCCAGTTTTCATTACCTCAAGGACTCTAGAGATCTTGAACAAAAGACTTTGCTAATAATGCCTTTGATATTTTAGAAAGTACAAATGTGGAACCTAATTTTACTCATGGCTATAATAGTTTAATTTGTGGTAGAACTACCATTTTTAAGTGAGGATACGCTTTTGGTATTAACCACTGACAGTTTGGGGTAATCAGACACACACAAAGCATTTTGTGTTTCTGTTGAGATACTTGAATAGCTCATGAAAGAAGCAAAAAGCGTGTTGTAATTAGGTTACTGATCCAAGTCCAGGTCTGAGTTGGTAGTTGCTGAAAGTCACTGCCACCTCAGGGCTCATCCATTATCCATGAGGAAAAAGAAAAGATGGTTTTCTGAATATTTTTGAACAGTTATTCATTTTACATGATTCTCTGCTGCCTTCTTTGCCCTAGCAAAAGTCACCGGCAGAATTTGCATTTGGAATGGCAAATTGGCTGTCCCTTTATTTGTGAAAGATTGTCCCTTAGTTTAGGGCTGGGATTCATGTGCTGTAGCTTTGATCTGCCTGTGCAGCGTAGGTATTCCTTTCAAGTGACAGATACTCGGTGGCTGACTTTTCCGAGTGGGCTGCTGCATGTCATCATGCTTTGTAGACAGGGTCTGTAAGCTCCAGCACCCACATTTAGTTTTGGAACTTTTAGGAGACTTTCCTTGTGTAGCCATGGCAACTACACAAAATGTGCAAGCAGTTTTTCACAGTAAAATAGCAGCAGGTTTGAGGCCTTGAAATAGGAGTTTGCATGTTATTCCTAACCAGTAGTTTGCATGGGTCTAGCAGACATGCCCTAACTTCTGGCAATAAGGTAACAGCTTTCCCTAAAAGCCTGTCTTCCTGCCAGTGTATTATAGGTTTTATGGGACAGTTTAAAAGTTTCAAAAATCCTTTGTTTTCTTCTGAAGCCTTTATGCAATTGGACGGATTTCAGGTACAGATATCTGTATTATCTTGTCCCAGTCCTGAACCCAAGCATGCTTGCCCTTTTCCAGATGTGTAAAACCAACCGAGAATTGAATTAACTCTGAGATGCCAGTTAGCAAACAGCAAAACAGTAATAGGAACAAGCAGTGTGACAGGGTATTTGTACACAGAAATTTCCTAGTATCCCTTGGAGCAAGTAACCTAGCAGTACTGCTGCTTCTTTCTGGTAGATAAGTCTTGCAGTTTCCCATATCTGATACTAGCATAGCACTCTTCTTGTGGGCACTAAATTCACGTAATAAAATGGTTTTTTTCTTCAAAGCAAAATGTTTCATTAGGCTGTGAGGTTTTTGTCAAAGAGAGTACAGATTTGAGTAAATTTATGTGGCATCTGACAGACTGGAACCAGACCGGGACTGATATTTGGTAGCCTGAGGCTGTGAAAGTCATTTGAAGTAATATAAAATAGTAAGCAGAAATAAATGATGGTTCTGGAGTGGGAATATTGAGAGTGATGAGGGTTTTGGAGTCACTAGGGTGTAGTGCCTCTTCCCCCAGAGTGGGCCTTCTGTGGAGGACAAGGAGGACTTGCATGCAGAACTGCAAGATCTAGAAATACTGAAGCCCATTGTGAGAGAGAGCACAGATCTTCTTTTTGCAACACCTCATCTTCTCTTGTTTTCTGCAGTATGGGGTCTTTGCTAATCTTGTATGTGTACAGGATATGTACTATCTATGCATTTTGAATAAAGTAGGAGAAATCCACATAAAATTACCCTGTTCATAAAATGTGTATAAACTCTCATTTCTGCCTATTTTGTGGTAAATTAGGCTCACTTAAAGAGCGGTGTTCTGCTTTGCACTTGTCTCAGGACAGTTTTTCCATTATGAAAATATTTGTCATTCTTGCTCTAACACCTTTTTGGATTCACAGCTGAAGGAAATAGCCAGGGCAGCTTCTAATGGGAACATTGTCTGGCTTGATTTCAGCTTACTGAGGCAGAGAGGGAGGAAAGGGGTGAATTTGCTGGCATTCTGAGTCCCAAATATACAAGGTCTGTGTTCCATCCTATCCAGAGTCTCTGATATTTTATTCTGTCCTTGGTGATGTGGTCTGTGTGCTTCTTCAGTCATTCCTTTTTCTTTATCAGCTCTCTGTACTCAAAACTTCTTTTTTGGGATTGTCAGGGAATCTTTTCAGATTCAGTCTTCCTTTGTATCTGTTTTTGTTAGTACGCTGACTCTTGTCATTGGGAACTGACTCACCTGGCTTGGTGTGCAATTCTTTTTTCCCCAGGTGATAATTTGTATGTGGTTTGAAGCTTAGAACTTAGTATTTTTTAAATTGGAGAGGAACAAGTAATTT